GTGTCCCAATACCCAGCTTCCCATCCAGCTCCCTGCTTGTGGCCTAGGAAGCAGTGAAGGATGATCCAAAGTTGGGGACCCTGCACCTGCGTGGGAGACCCAGAAGATGTTCCTGGCTCCTGGATCCTGGCTTCAGATCGCTTCAGCTCTGGCCACTGTGGCCATCTGGGGAATGAACTAGTAGGTGGAATATTGTTCTCTCTCTGTCTTTCCTTCTCCCTGTAAATCTGCCTGTATAATCAAAATAAATATAAAAAAAAGATTGTTTCACATATTTGGTCAGTTCCACCCTGTTTGTTTCCTCACCCAGGGAATATTTATCTCAATAATTTTAAAAGGCCAAAACTACCAGTGACCAGAAGGCTGGGTCTTTTCATCTCAGGCACCAGCTGATGAGTCACCTCTGCCAGAGATCTCCCTCCTGGCTCTAGGGTTATATGTACCTGCTGATCCCTGAACCACTGTGCCCAGCCCAGATGGAGGTAAATATCCCAAGAAGCTCAGCATTTATCTAATTCACCTGCAGGCTGTCAGTGGCCAAGCAGCCACCAGCTTGTCTTCCCCGTAGCCCCCAACAGCCATCCACCATAATGTGCCCCTGGCCCATGGGCCTTTTTGAGAAGCCAATCTCAGTACAGCACCTGCCTTCCTGGGGAGTAGACACAGGGTCTTGGACTAAATCAGACTTTGCCTCAGAAATACTGAGCTATGGGTAGGAAGCCAAGTGGGCCAGACATTATGCATAAAGCCACTGTAGCCAAATAAACTTTTAATGCCAATTTTTTTAAAAAGATTTTTTTGGAAAGTCAGCTATCGAGAGGAAGAGAGACAGAAAGGAAGATCTTCTGTCCACTGGCTCATTTCCCAGGTGTCCATAATGAATGGAGTTGAGTCAATCCAAAACCAAGAGGCAGGAACTTCTTTTAGGTCTCCCATGCAGGTTCAGGGTCCCAAGGCTCTGGGCCAGCCTCGACTGCTTTCCCAGGCTATAAGCAGGGAGCTGGACAGGAAACAGAATAGCCAGGATACAAGCCAGTGCCAATGTGGATTTCCGGGGCACACAAAGTGAAGACTTTAGTCACTAGGCTACCACACCGGGCCCACTAAATCCATTTTTAAATAAAACATAGTATAAAACATTTTTTAAAAATTCTGCTTGGGTAGTAGTACTGTGGCATGGTGGTAAAGCCACTATATGCAAGGGCCGCATCCCTTGTGTGTGCCAGTGCATGTCCTGGCTGTTCCACTTGCAATCCAACTCCCTTTTAATGGCCTGGGAAAAGCAGCAAAAGACAAAGTGTCTGGGCCCCTACTGTGCGCTCGGAGTCCTGGAAGAAGCTCCTGGTTTCAATCTTGCCCAGCCCTGACTGTTACAGCTATCTCTTCCTCTCTCTGTAACTCTGATTTTCAAATAAATAAATCCTGTAAACAATAACAGCAAAAATTTTCTACTTAAAGTTACTTTGTTGTTTAGTTTTTGGTGTGTGTATGTGTATTAGATTGGAGCAAAGGGGGCAATTATAGTCGTTGTCTAATTTTAGGGGTCTATAGCTCTTTTGTGTGCTTTAGGAGTAACTTCTAAAACCTCCTAATAATACTCCCTGGATGCCATAACAAAATGCCAAAAGCTCTGGTCCCAGCATGATAGTGTAGTAGTTAAAGTCCTCGCCTTGCATGCACCAGGATCCCATATAGGGTGCCGGTTCTAATCCTGGCGGCCCCACTTCCTATCCAGCTCCCTGCTTGTGGCCTGGGAAAGCAGCAGAGGACGGCCCAAAGCCTTGGGACCCTGCACCAGCGTGGGAGACCCAGAAGAGCTCCTGGCTCCTGGCTTTGGATTGGTTCAGCTCCAGCTGTTGCACTCACTTGAGGAATGAACCATCGGATGGAATATCTTCCTCTCTGTCTCTCCTCTCTGTATAATCGCCTTTCCAATAAAAATAAATAAATCTTTAAAAAAAAAAAACCCAAAAGCTGGGTAACTTTAGAGAAAGGTATTTTCTCACATTGTCAAAAACTGAAAGTCCAAGCTGAAGGTACTCTCAGCAGTGGGTTCTGACGAGGCCTTCTGTGTTGCCTCACGCATCTGTGCACAGGTAACTCTCTGGTATCTTAGATGCCAGTCCTCTCTGTGTAGGGCCCTATATTCATGATCTCATTTAACCTTAATCACTTCTCCAAAGGCCCTGTCTCCAAATATAGCCACATGGGGGTGGGGGCTTCAACGTACGATAGGAGGTCATCGTTAAGTCCACCACACTCCCCAAGCACAGGGAGTGCTGTGGAATAGATGTTTGCTCCAGCATGGGTCCCCTGCTTTAATTCACTCTTCAAGGATGACAGGGCACTTTCTGGGTCTCTGTGTCCCTGCAAGAGAGTGGCTTCTGTAGACCAGCCTGGGTAGGCGTTTCCTTAGGAACCCTCCGCAAGTTAGTCTTAGCAAAGCTACTATCATGTCTCTCATGCCTCAACCTTTCCCTCCCTCTACACAGGTCCCCAGCCCATTTTTGCATTTAACCACATCTCTAACTGCACATGTCCTCCTTGCTTTTAGCCTCCAGAGTTACCCCTGTCATTTGGACACTACCAAGAAGAGCCACAGCCTGGCCGCACTGATGCAAGCTGCACTGCACATTAGGATCATCTGGAGAGTTTTCAAAAGAAAAAAAAAAATTTTCCCCCAGCCAGTGTCATCCCATGTGATTTAAATCAGATTGTCAGTGGGAGATAGATTGTCAGCATTTTTACAGATGAAATAGATTTCCAATCCAGGTTCCATCACTTACTAGCTCTGTGCCATTGGGTAAGTTGCTTAATTCAAAATGAAGATAGTACAGGCAGTGGGACCTGTGTTGTAAGATTGTGGTGATGATTCAATGTGAATACTTGCAAGGATCCTAAAAGAGAACCTGACACTTGAGGTTTTTGCTTTTATTGTTAACTGTTGTCATTTCAGGTGTGCTTGAAAGCACCTTCCAGAAGAAAATCCTCTGTTATTTCAAGAATTTACCTGGGAGAATCAGAACACTAACTCCCCTAATCGTGAAAGCGAAAAAGGGAGCTGGCACCTGCTTGGTGTGAAGCGTGCGTTATTCTGTTTAATCTTTACAATAATCTCGGGATGATGACAAGTCACTTTTCAGAAGAATCAACAAAAGCTGAAAGAGGTTAAGCTGGTGATGCAGCTGGGGTTTATAACCAGGTCTTTCTCACTCCAAATCTCATTCATTTGTTATGAAAATATTTTGATTGTCAAGAAAAACACAGAAAAATGGTTTCTTGTCGTCTCCATGTGATCCACCCACTAGTAGAACTGTAACAAGCTGGCTTTTGTTGGTGTGACTGGGGAGCCAGAGCACATCACTGGGGAAATGCTTTCATTTCCTTATGATAACATAAGTTCTAATTAGTAACTGGGAAAGTACAGTTAAGACACATGTAGGAGAGGGTGTTGTACATGGGTTAGGCCACTACTTGGGATCCCATTTTGCAGTGCTTGGGATAGAGTCCCGCCTGTGTTTTGAGTTGAATTTCCTGCCGATGCACGTGGGAAGCAGCAGAGGATGACTCAAGTACTTAAGTCCCTGCCATCCACAAGGGAGATCTGGTTTGATTTCCTGGTTCCTGGTTTCAGCCTGTCTCAGGCCTAGGCTACTGCAGACATGTGGGGAAGAAACCAGCAGATAGAAAATCTTTTTTCACTTCACTCTCTCTCTCTCTCTCTCTCTCTCTCTCTCTCTCTAAGGTTACTTTTGAAGTAAATAAAAAGAATAAGTAAACTTGTGAAAAAAAAATATATATATATATCTTTTGACAATGTAGGCAGGAAAGCCCGTTTTCAGCACTTGAGTTCAAAACCAACCTCCCCATTTGTTGTCTGTACCAGTTACTTCATTGTTCCCTGCCTCAGTCTCCTCTCCCATCAAACAGGGAAAATAACAGAGCTTTGGGGATCAAATGGGCTCAACACAAGCTTAGCCCTTGGCGGCACCTGACCTACGGCAAGTATTCTGTAGACAGCTGTCATTGTTGCCATTACCATTTAGGGCCAGCAAACTGATCTTTTAACCTGCAAAATTTCATGGGACTTTTCTAAATGACACTAAAAAAAGGCCCTCAACTAAACTCTGAGAAATGCCACCAGATTTAAAAGGAATAACATAAATACCGTATCCTATCACCTCATCCATTCCAGGCAGACATTTCACACTTCTTTCCCTCAAGCCAGTGCCCCTCTTCTGCAGGGAGACTGCAGACCCTGCTCAAGGAAATCCTCAAACAAGGATCAGGGAGAACAAATCTAGACCCCGTTTCAGCTACATAGGAGCAGGATGACTGCCTGCCCCAGGCAGTGTGGACGGGGTCAGGTCTGCAGGCCAGAGTTATGGTTAGGTGTACTGACAAAGTTTCTCCTTGACTAAACTTTCATGTTCCCTCTGCATTAGGCCTCAACCTTTGGACTGTTTATGTGCATCTTTGCATTGCCAAGGTTTAGCAAAAATTCTCAGTCAGTTTCAGTCAGAGTCACCCACTGGAAGCTTCTGATCAGGCTTCTCATCCCCGCCATCCTGCAGGGGTGCCCTATCACCTTCGCCTAGCAAAAATCTCCCTTTACTCTTAACGTCTCTTACGAATTTCTCATCCACTGCTCCTGATTCCTGCTACCTAGCTATATATCCTCACTTGTCCCTGCTGCACTCAGAATTGAGCTGAACTGACTGATCTATCTATTGCAATAGTTCCTCAAGATTTGGTCTTCTACCACATTCTTGACAGCCCAGTTTTGCTTTTTCTTTGACAATCTACACTGACAAGTGCATGTGGACACCCATGTGTGTACATGCACACACATACACCCCAGCACAGCTCTGGAAGCACTCAGTAGCTCTGTATAGTGGTTCCAAGGAGCACTCCTTGGTTAGGATCTTAGAAACAATTCTCCATTCCCAATGATTAGCATCTGTGCCTCTTTTACATCAGTGGTCATAAATGGCACCAACCGTACTCTGGTGTGGTCACGCATGACTTAGGAGGCTCGGCCACCAGCCTCTGGATCTGGGCCAACGTGCTGCAAGCTTCTTCCAATTCCCTCCAAATGAGAAACACGTCCTCTCTAACTCCAGCTCCTGTGAAGCAAAACACAGCATGGGTGGCTACCTGAGATACCCACGGGACCCCTTCACTGGTCCTCACACATTCCATCCTGCTATCCCGAACATTTATGAACATCACATTGCACTCTCCCCTGTAAACTCTTACTGGGAGTCAGAAGAGAAATCCCCAAAGGAGTGCTGAACCTTCAAGAAATCTGGAATGCCGACCTTAGCAAGCATGCTATTTGACAGCAGGTGCAACAGACTGATTGGGTTGCCTACATTCCATATTGGGTTTTAGCTTGAGTCCTGGTCCCTCTGTTTGTAATCCAGCTTTCTCCTAATGAGCCTTAGAAGGCAGCAGACATTGGCCCAGGACTTGAGTCTCTGCCACCCACATGGGAGTTCCCCCTGGCTCCTGGTTTGGGCATTACTCAACCCTGATCGTTGCAGGCATTTGGGGAGTAAACCAACAGATAGAAGATATCTGTCACTGCCTTTCAAAAAAAAAACCTTTGTTTTTAAAGAATGTATTCTTGTAAACATTTGTAGCACCCAGAATATTTGAGGATAACTTATAGCTAACATTCAAGCAAGATAAAGAATAAGAATACGCAGAAGCACTCCCATCATAGCCAGGCCTCTTGCAGTGAGGAAGGGAAACTCCAGGACACAGGAGGGCATCCCCTGCATGTCCTTTCCTCATTAGGTTGAGATCCCCAGCTCCTTTTAAGCCACTTTCATAAGTCGTCATTATTCCCCAACCTAACAATGGCTCTTTGGCTTTTTTCTCAACTTCTGGACTAGTTTTAGCTGTGCAATACTTGGAAAATAATATTGCTTAGGAAATAGACACAGCTATGTCTCTCATTCAAAGTTTATTCAGGGTGAATGATAAGCCATTGGGGCACCTGCATCCCACATCAGAAGTGTCTTGAATGGACTCCTAGCTCCTGACTCCAGCTTCCTGCTTATGTTCATTGCAGAAGACAGTAGTGATGGTTCAGGTAATTGTGTTCCTACCACACATCAAGGAGATGTGGATTGAGTTCTTGGTTCCCAGCTTTGGCCTCAAGTCCTGAGGGCCACTGTGGGCATTTGGAGAGTGAGCCAGCAGATGGGAGTACGTGTGCTCTATCTCAAATAGACACATTCAAAGCAAATAAAACTAGATTCTGTGAAATTTCATTCCACAGATAAATAGTCCAGGGCTGAGATGATGCTTTGCCTGCCTTCAGGTCCAGACTCGAAGAGCTCAGTGGCTCAGTAGCTTCCAGAAGTGAAGAAGGGCACAAAGGCAGGAGGGAAATGGTTGTGACGATGAAAGTGCAATATGAAGGGTCCTGTGTGGTAACTTCAGGATATCCAACCCAGAGCCAGATTGTGATGTTGTACTTCAGCTTTGCAAGATGCTACCACGGGGCACACCAGGCAAAAAGTACATGGGCACCCCCATATTGTTTCTCACAACTATATGTGAATCTATAAATAACTCAAAACTAAAGATTTAATTAAAAGAAAGGAAAAAATCTCAGACCCAGGCTCTATCCTGTAATTTCACCATTCTAGCACATTCTTCTATCCTCACTCAATTCACAGTTCATGATGGCTTACAGGCTTCTAAATAGCATGTCCAGGTTAGGGTCAAGAGGCAGAAAGAATGTTGGACAGGTAGACAAGTCTTACCTAATCCCCCGAACAGTCAGTCCCTTTTAGGCACTTTTCCCGGGAACCCTGGACACCTGTTTCACTACTTAACCATAGCCAGTACTTCATCATGTGACCCTATCCAGCTGCAATGGAAACTGGGAAATGAAGCTTTTAAGCTACCTCCTATAGATGAAGGGAGTGGCTCTGAGTGGTAGCAGTGCTGGCTACACCCACTGAGACCTGTTCTAATGCCAGACGTTTCCAGCAGAGCCAGCTCAGCAGCCCATCCCTTTTCCCTGCTGCTGACAACTTGCCAAACTTGCAAATTTTAACTCAAAAAGCATTTTCTCTGCTCATTTCCTGGCTGCTCCACAAATGCCCTGCTAGAGGGCACAAAGTAATCTTAGATTATCCTATTTGCTGATGAGAAATCTCCATGGAGTTTGTTTTAGAGAAGCAAAAGGAACGGGCAAAGAGACTACGAACATGGATGCCAACTGCCTCCCGTTGCTGTCTCTGCCCCTACCCAGCCAAGCTCCTGCATCTCTCTGTCTGAGTCGGCTGCACCCACAAGGCCAGTAGGGACCTCAGGGAAAAAAACCGCAAGTGTAAGAAGCCACTCGTGAATTTTCAATGGAATCTTTGAGCTCAAATCTCCCATCTGCAACTACTGGAAGAGTTGTGGAGATGGCAAGCAGTCTGCTCTGAGGTTGGTTTTTTTTTTCTTGCTATTTCTTTATTATTATTATTATTATTATTATTATTATTATTATTATTAAGATAAGATTATCCTTACCCAAACTGAACAGTTCACAGGTTCCTAAGATCCCACAATTCCAGAGAAGGAGAGCTCACCATATAAGCCATCCAGTATAGGAGATTCAGCTACCCTGGACCAAAGGACTGAACTTAACACCAACAAGACAGTGCAGCCAATGGCCTCTGACTTGTAAATGGTGGTAAGGAGGGGTAGGGCAGAAGCAGAAGGGGCGTCAGGGCTGTAGTCCCTAGAGGCTACCTAGGTCAAGTGAGAGTATTCTCAGTTCTGCTAATCAGGAAATCAGCAGCAAGCCCTGGCACAGACGGATGGTCAGTACAGCTTTGCAGCCCGTGGTGAGAGGTGCCATGGTGCTGAAGTCCACAAATAGCCCATGCTGCTGCTGCTGCTGCCAAGTGAGAACCTTATCCTCACAGGACTTGTGACTGCTATAAAGCCAAGACCACTATAAAACCAGCTGCTTCCTTCAGCATGGAGGTGCTAAGTAGCTGGATACTCTCTTAAAAAGTTTCAAATGAGTCAAGGCTTTCCTCTAGACTTGGGAAGACACCACAGACCAATAGCAAAGGAAAAAGTCTCCAAGGAAATGCAGTTAGCTCTTGATTATCTAAGACAGGGAAGTGTGTCTCTAGTGGCAGCAGTGGCCTGTATAGGCAGTAACTGGGGAAAATCACTACAATGCAGTGGTATTGTATTCAGACAACCAAAGGTGGCTAAAAAGTAAAACAATGCAAAACTATCCATTCAGTTAGCATTGCTGAAACAGAAAAGGTATGAAAAAGGAGAATGCAGGTAGCAGAACAAGCGTAACTTGCAAGGCATAGGTTTGATTTTAAGTTATTCAACAGCCAGTGCCACTTTGACCAGGAGCACTTTTCTGCAGGGATTTAGCTGGGATGTGTGACAGTGACAGCTGAGGCAGAGGGAGCTCTGCTGGAAATGGGAGAGCAAGGAAGACAAGGCACAGCAAAGCCCAGCATTCACAGGGCTTTATGAGTTGGGAATTCTCCAAGCAAGTCCACACGCGCTATGGATCTTGACTGCCTGGGGTTATTTTAAGCCTTACCCAGAAGCAGGTGTGGACCACAAACAGGCAACTGAAGACTTTGAAGCGCCTCACACCCAATCAGCCCCAACTGTCTACAGCACTGACCCTCCCCTGTATTCCTTACAGTAATCACTTGAAGGTTCATATTAAAACACTGGCAGGACCTGGAGGTGTTGTCACACCAAGCTGCTGTCTTTCAGTAGCATCTGGTCTTGACTTCTCACACTGGCTTGTTTGACAAATGAAATGAGACCCAGCACAGAGAAGATTTGGAAAAGTCCATGGAGAACCTGTTGCCAAACACCACCTCTCTCCCTTGTACTTCCTCTGGGTCTCATCTGTAGGATAGAGTCCAGCTGTCCCCTTATAGCACATGAATATATTCATTCAGCAAATATATCTTCACTACCTCCCAGAGGGCAGGCACTGTTGGTACTAGCAACATGGCAGCGAACAGAGCTCTGCTCCTAAAACTGGAACCAGTGCAGGGTTCAAGGTCTTCTTTAAAACATCCCACTCCCAACCCCCAACATTGCCCCTGGGAACCAGGTTAACTGCAGGACTGTCGTTTGGCACCTCGAGGGCACCTGTCCTCACTGCATCCTACAGCCTCTCCAGGTAAAGGTATTCTGCCTACTGCTCTTTTTCTCCATTCCATAGAATGAGTGAGCCTGTTACAACCTCTGGTTGTCTACCCTCTTGCTGCCAGGGCACGCTCTCAGGCAACGCCATTGGTTAGGCTGTCAGTATATGAAATTCCTGGCTGTTTGTCATTCCAGCCTCCAACTCCAAAGGGCCCGTGATGGTGATATTATTATCCACACAGCCTTGGACTCAGTCTAAATTAAGCTGATGGTTCACAAACACTGGGCTTAGATTTAGGAGGCAGCTGCTCACAGGGCATTCCACCGCTCAGCTGGGATGTGTGCCTCTCCTCCAGGAGTGAGCCTACAGCCTCCGGTTGCTGTTTCTGTGTTCGCATGGGCTGACTCTATCACTGCAGTGTCTGCAGTACAGGAGCAATCTCTTTCCCAGGTAGCCTCCACAGCCATAGGCACAGGATCCAGGGTTCTCAGGATGCTTCCCAGTTTTTACTTGTCATTATGACAAACAATTAACCAGTAGCTCATATATACATTCCTGGTAGAAATGCCCTGACAAAATTTACAGCCTCCATTACTACAAGAAACGCATGTGTGTTTATAGTGGAACACTGGTAGGGCACAGAACACGGAGCCTACAGCTGCACCCTAGAGATCCCAGACCTTCAGTGACCTGGTCCTCATGCAGGAAGGCAAGACTTCTTCTCAGGTACCATCTGAAGTACTATCAACACATAATCAGGAGGGGAAGAGAGATTCAAAAGACAGGTAGACTGCTGGCAAATGCTGGCTGAAGACAAGCCATCTCAGACTGGGCTATAATGCTCACTGGCACATGCAAGACCTAGGGCTGGGAGTGGGCCTGAGGGACAACTACAGAGACTCCCTTGCTGGGCAGTAGCTTCCACTAGCTGGCATGAGAACTGGGACTGGGGGTGGACCAGCTGGGATAGGC